TTTTTGTTTACTCAAAATCATAAAATTAATATAATATTTTAAGCTTTATTGATTTGATACATTATGTGTTTAAATGTACTTGGTTTATATTTAATATGTTTTCATAATAATTGTTAATGTATAATATGTCTAAATCTTATTGTGTATGTTACACTACCCAGCGGTTTATTTTGTATCGGCGCACTAGTCCTAAGGTATATTACCTATGTATTTAACTACGGTCAAATGTATGCTTGCTTTCGCCCACTTGTATTATAATAAAAAAAAACGTCAGGGGTACAAACGATGAGAATTTATATGTTTATTTCTTTACAAATGATTACCGTAAGAAAATTTTATAAATTCCAAAACTCACTATTACATTAGTTTCCAAGTGTGGTTTACGGATAACTTGCTGGATATTTATTTATAATCGATCATTGTGTACATGTTTCCGCACAACGTTTGCCATAGCGGTATACTTTAACTGTATAGTTATTTTTTATATAATTTTACTTGTACACTACCAATTAATCAATTTATGTTTTATTAGTTTTTTTATTTATTGTTTGTTTTCGCCTGAATTTTGAGTTCACTCTACATTATCCCTTTGGGCGGCTATTTTATAATAGATAAGTAAATATTTTATGTAGTTCTATTTCCTAATCGCTCTGGTTCATTAAATTTTTTTTTTTATGGTGACAATTAAACGAGAGATGAAACAAAAACCAAAATCAAGCTCCACCATAGAGTATCAATTACTATTACATACAAGTTTAAAATGAAACATTCGACCAGTTTGATTTTATGAAATTTGTGAATATTCTATGTCCGTGACTTCATAGAATAATGAGTAATTATAATCACCAGGGACATAGTGTTATAGTAGATGTTTTTATCTTTCGAATGTGACTAAAACCTAAGGTATCAAAAGAATTGAAATATTTTTCTAATTGCTTAAGGACTCGGACAGGGAGAAAATTTCCAAGTGTTTTTTTGCGCTTTGGGAACACCTGGTCGCTCTTATCAATTATCATTGCCAGTGTACCTCGAATGATACATGACGTACCCCACAATTGAACATACATACATAGTATATTTCAACCACAGAATAAACAGAAAAGAAACTATCCCAAGGTGGATTTATAAATCCATCTTAAACTGTTTTAATTCTTATATGGGACAAGGTAAAGTCGGTTACACCTCAAAGAGCCACTCGACAAACAACCACCGAAAATCGACAAGCAGCCACTCGAAGGGGTACCAACATATACAATATTTATAAAAAATGCACGATTATTATTCGTGTATGTTGTGCGGCTAGTATTGTTTATTTAAAGGGGAAAACTTGTACATTTCATAATTAATGCAATAAGGCTTAAACTATTTTTAATTCACTGTGTGACCTGTCTCCTGTTTTGAGTTTTTTTATTTAAGTTATAATCAAATCAGTTTCTATTATTGAAATTTATATTAAAAAAAAACTGAAAGTATATGAAACAATATTTATAATATTATATTATAGTGATAATTTACCAACAATAAATTGTCTCTTGAGTTTGTAAAAAAAAATGTTTTTCAAAACATACTTACACGTTTTATAATAAGTAAAGCAGAATGTTCATTGATCAAATTTCAATGAAATTATACTTTTTTTTTAAATTATTTAATACCGATGTATTATACCTATCTATTTAAAACAATACATCGTGAATACCTCATACGAAACTATTCGATACCCGACAATAAAATTAAACACATTTACTTAAATACTTTACAACTTCCAATAGGCAATAACACAATAATAAATTATAGTTAAATATTATTTAATTTTGTATTATATATTTTCATATCTGTGTATTAGTTATCATGTTATATATATGCCGAAAATAATAATTCCGAAAAAATAGAACCAAAACATATATTAACCGAAAATATAATAGCCGAAAAATATTTAAGTCGAAAATAATATTTACTAAAACTGTTTAGGTCGAAAATAATGTCATCGAACGTATTTTAGCTGACACTTAGTATTTGAACAGAACCTTATAAGTTATAAATTATAATAGTATACAAAAACACTGTTACGAGCGCCGTGTGACCGCGTTGTGTCTACTGTCTACGCTATTTTTATAACATCTGTGATAAGTTCCATTTGTTATTGAAATATACAGCTATTTTTTATTTTGTGGTTGACATTTTTTTTCCATATATACTACCAATGCTTAATTGTTAGTATTTGTTTATACTTAGCTACACAATAGTAAATTCAAACAGGGACAACCTATGGTAGACTGGCGCCTTGCCGATGCTGAATAAAATGTTTATATATTATTAAGCTGGCAGTAGTTTTTTGGGGTCTAAAATAACCGGTATGGTTCTTTTGGATCTAGATATGATACACTCATCAGACTTATCACTAATGTCCAGCTAATATATAAAATAGATCACTCCAGTTTATGTGTAAATAAGGTCAGATACAAGGGGAAGGCTGGAGTTAATAGTTAATAGTTTATAATACAATCTATATTAAAATAAATATAAACCAAGTCAAACTATAACGAATTTATGAGTAGTAAATTCACATGACTTCTTAAAAACAATCCAAATTAACTCAGGTGCTATAATATAATATACATAATATTATCATTGATTATCATTAATCAAAGATATTATGTATAAATGCACAAACAACAAAAAAGCTCAAATATATTAAATTTATATTTATAAACACAGATTTCCTTATTTCACACTATTATAATATACAAGTTAAAAGTTAGCTATAGCTTAAATTTAAGTCACATGTGTATTGGCGTTGTCGATTGCATTATCTAGATGTTTTTATACATGTGCATAGAGTACACAAGGGTTTCACAAAATGATTGATACTTAGTGTGTGATATTATAATTAACGTGAAGTGGGTCTCTACGGTTAAAAAGTTATTAACGAAACGTTAATATTACTAAGTTTACTATGGTCAAGTTTATACAAACTAACGGTTGGTTACCAACTGCGGCCATCCATCACTGATGTTAAATAATTATGAGATTCGAGCTATCAAAAAAAAAAAATATAATGGTTCAACACGTTGGCGGTGGCCGGTACTTAACAAAAGACTGCAAGGAAATAGTTTTTACTAAAAAAAATGATGATTTTACTGTTTTATCTATTTTTAATGTTATAATTATTAAAATTTATTTTATTATTGATCACGATTTAATAAAAAAAAAAATTGTTTGGCTTAAGTATTCTAATAGCCTTGACAAAAATGTATTTTCTAAAATGATTATGTACATGTTTATTTTTAAAAGTTATTATCAGCAGTAATAAACATATAATATTAATCATTTGTTGAATAAAAACTAATAGTGTACATATTATGAACACAACGGATTTCATACAAGTTATTTTAATATTAAAGTTAAAAACAGTTGTACATTATTAAAGAAAAATACTAAATTAATATAATCGAGTTTATAAAAAATGTTTACTAAATTATTTCCACTTGGCTTATAGTTTTTAAATTTTGAACATAGTTGGAAAAATAACAAAATATAGTTAGAACATTACAAATAATTATGGTATAAATCTACTTTACCGGGCACCCTTTTTTTCGATTATTTTTTTAAATCGACAGTACTTTTAATGTTGATTACGAATATGTAAAAAATTTGCGCCGCTCGCACTTAGTTTGGAAGTTACAGACTTTTAAAGTTCGCCGAAATCGACATACGTGCGCGCCCGGCACTGCACGTCTACCCGCGCCCGCTGGGTACTTCGTCCGTTGATCGCCGCTCAATTATCATCGGATTTCTCGTCTACCTGCCTCCCGCCCGTCGTGGTCCTTTTTTTTTTTGCATCATAATTTCATCACGCTAATATTTGACTTGTTTGGGATTTTGCTATAGCGAACAATGAACAATTTTTGGCTCGCCCGATGCACATTGTTGAGACTTGAGGATGACTTAGTAGTAAATATTAATGTTTTATCGCGCCCCGCTAATATTAAAAAGTATTACGGGCTATTATAAAGCAATACATGTTAATCATTTGTTATAATTTGGTTATTCATTTATATTTTATGATTCTACATATATTAACACAAAATAAATATATAATGCTGTTTTTCTACAAACTCTGATGAAAATTGTGAGGGACACACACACATACATTCATTATATATATATATATATATATATATATAGATAATAAAAATAGAAATAATTAATCAGATAAAAAAATCCAATTTATGTAGATGGCCTATAGCATAAGCCAAATGGGTGGAAAATATACACATTTGCCAATTAGCTAAAAATGTACTTTTTTTGGATTTTTATACCGGTATTTATCTAATTTTAACCCTCTGCTTCTGAGTTTTTAATAATTAGTTCTAAGTCAATAAAAAGTAAAAACCTTTATCAAATACTTTTTAGTTGTATATATAATATATACATGGATCGTTCATTCCGATACTCATGAAAATGCACACAAATTAAACAATGTTCAATAACTTCATTTGTTTTATATTTAAAATATATTTGTAATTTAATTGGAATACATGAAAGCAAGTTAAAATATTATTCAATTAATATTGTTGCAATATACATAATTATTTTACCTATGTATTATATTAATAAATAAGTATCAATAATATAAAAATGTATAATTATTTATAATAATAGAGTAAAAGTATTTAGAAACAATAATTATTATTAATAGCATGAGTTAACAATAAATCCTGTTGAGTAAATTGAAATGTTTACAATGAACATAGTAACAATGTCTACTATACAATAGGGGTTTTAATAAAAATATAATATTTTCTACAAAGTTACTGTTTTTATTTTTATTGATATACAATTTGGAAATTACATTTTTTGCTATTACTCCGTTATAATATGTGGTGTCGGCCGCACAACATACACAAATAATAATCGTACATTTTACATAAATATTGTACATGTTGGTATCTCTTCGGGTGGCTGTTTGTCGAGTGGCTCCGTGTCGAGTGGCTCCGTGTCGTGCTCCCGTTTTTCGTTCATCGTAGTTTTCCACCAGCTCGTCTCGATTGAAATTTTAAATTGTCTACGATTTCCACGACCAACTTTCTATGCACTATTAACGCTATTTAATATAAACGGACTATTTTCATTATGTTAATACCTTATATAAAATCAATTTTCGTTTTTGACGTTTTTGTGGATGTTTTTCCACTCACGTTGGTCATTCGAACATTAAACGGCGAATTATCTTATTGATAGCGGCGAATGATAACGACCTTCGGAGTGATAACTGATAACAGACTTCAAATTCATAAATCATCATTGATATATACTGTACTCACTACTCATTAGTGAATTGATAACGGATAACTATTAATTACTAGATGGATCTTTCTTAGAGCAATCTAATATAGTTTTAATTTTGTTCTTAATTATTCATTAATTATTTTGGCTTTGCTTATAATAGGCTACAATCCAAGTTTAGAAAGTCGTTTTGGGGCATTTTGCTTGAAAACTATTTTTCAAGTATGCCTCCAATGAAACCATTTAGAGTTGGAAAACAAACCGGACCCAAAGGTATAAACTATTACCGTTAATTATTTTATTAACAGCATTTTATTTATTTTTAAATTTCTAGTTTAATTGCTATATTACATCTAAATGCAATTTAATTTATGTTCTTAGATAAAAATAGAGGTCCCAGACAATCAAAGTCAAGAGAAGATAGTTTCATAAATGATAATGATGGACCATCTGGATCAGATATTAATTCCAAACGTCACCCTTCACATTTGAAAGGACGTGATATAGGTGTAGTTTTGTAATTAGCTAAAATTAATTTAGACTCATTTGTTATGTTAAATAAAAAGTAATAATTAGGTTTATAATTTCATAATTAAATTTTTTTTCTTTTTTCATTAATTAGCACCAAAATGGTCTATTATTTTTTTAACTCTAAAGAAAGTGTGATTTCACAACATTTCTTAACAACACTGCTAAGACTGAAACAGGCTTGAGACATTATAGGACTTAAAATGTATCAAGAAATATTTAATAGTTCTTAATTTTTATTTGTTGATTAGTTTAATCAAATGAAGTAGTCTTTGCTTGTATTGTATGTAAAATATAGAAGCTAATTTCTACTTATTTTATCTAAATACTTTTAGGTATATGGTATGCACGTCAAGCAAGCCGGAGAGAAGATGAAGAATTATTAAATGCTAAAAAGAAAGGTGATGGTCCAAAGCTTAAGCCACCTCCCTATTTGAAAGGTCGTGATCTAGATTTATGGCACAAAGAACAAAATCGAATTTGGCAAAAAGCTCAAAAAAAAGAAAAGCAAAAAGAATCGGGCAAATGCGTGAGTAGAAAATGCAGCTATTTACATATTAAATTTAAAACCAAGACTATTAAATAAAACAATGTTTATTTCAGTTTATAAAATTAAGAATTGAAGGCATTGGTCATGTAGAAATGAAGACCTCGGAGTTGGATGCCGAATTGCCTTTACTTGAAGAAAACAATAAACTTAACTATAGTAAATCTTCAAATTCTAAAATAGAATCGATGAATAATAAAAGGTGCTTTCAAAGTTTTTTTTACATTAGAATAACATAAATAATTTACTGTTTAAATTAAGTTTTAGAAATTTAAATGTTTCATCGTTGAATGATGATAATGATATTGATGAAAATGCTGAATACATTATGGATAGATATAAGAAATTAGAAGATTCAACTTTTAAAAGAAAATTTTTAGACAACATAACTGGCTCCATTGAAGATAATCTCGCGGCATCTGTACAAAGCAATTCGGTATGCTAATACATTTGGTAGATGATAATGATAATATTTCTATAAATAACGTTCATCAATTATAGAAATTACAAAACGTCGAAATGAGAAATGCCGCTTTAAAAAATGAACTTGAGGCTAAACGTAAAAATCCTAAATATAGATCCATGTGTGAAATTCGTAAAAAACTACCATCGTACAGTAAAAGGGAAGAGATTTTAGATCTTCTGAAAAACAATCAAGTTATTCTAATTAGTGGCGAAACAGGTTAATTTTGAATATTATTTTTGCTCGGCATAATTTATTACAAGTTTTGTTTTATTTGATTGCTAGGCTGTGGTAAGACTACACAAATGGCGCAATTTATATTAGATGACGCTATAATGTCTGGTCATGGATCAACGTGCAGAATTGTCTGTACCCAACCAAGAAGAATCAGCGCTATATCTGTTGCTGAACGTGTAGCCGACGAGCGAGCAGAGCGTGTAGGAGAAGGAAGTGTAGGCTACCAAATACGATTAGAAAGGTATACCGATTTTTCTTAAGAGTTAAACCCACTAAAAATAATAATTTCTAAGTATACTTAATTTAATTGCTTTCTAGGCGTCTAAGTCGTGATTATGGATCAATTCTGTTTTGCACTACGGGTATTTTACTTCAGCAAATTCAACAAGACTCAGCTTTGAATTATTACTCGCATGTTATCATTGACGAAATACACGAACGTGATACTATTAGTGATTTCACTTTAACCATTCTGAAGAGTATTATACCAGTGGTAATTATCTAAAATACACATATAGCTGTTTGCTATCATGGTAAATTGTTCTAACATAATGGTTTTCAGAGGCCCGACATTAAAGTGATACTCATGAGTGCTACGTTAAATGCATCGGCATTTTCTAGTTACTACAATGAATGTCCATCATTAAACATACCTGGATTTACTTTTCCAGTCGAAGAACTTTATCTCGAAGATATATATTCCTTAAGTGGGTAAGTACAATTATTTAGCTTTGTATGTTTTGGTGAAGTAGACATTTTCAATGCATAATTTTCAAACAGGTTCAGGTATTTTCCCAAAAAATTACCTCAGAGAATTCGAAAAGTACGACCCGGTGATCCATTTGGTGAATTTGTCATTCCTTACGTCAAGTTAGTGTTGGAATAACATTATATCATAAACTATTGCTTGTATTTATTAATGAAATAATAATCTTAGTGAAATGAGACGATCCAAAAAGTATCCAGCATCGATTTTAAATTGGTTAGAAACTCCCATGTCAGAAGATACGGATTATGAACTTATAGGGGAACTTATAAACTATATTTGTAATAACAAAGAAGATGGAGCGATACTAGTATTTCTTTCTGGATGGGATCAGATATCTAAGTTAACTAGAATTTTGAGAGATAAAGGCTTTGGAAATACATGTAAGCTAAATAATCTTGTTGTGGAACACTAACAATGTCGATTACTATAAATTAAAAAAAAATAAATGTTTCAGCGCGATATATCATGATACCATTGCATTCCATGTTACCCACAGTGTCTCAAAAATCAGTTTTTGATCCACCGCCCAGAGGTGAAATAATATCGACCAAGTTAATCATTACAAAAATATGTTTTTATTTGTTGATTTTCAGTTGTTTTTTTTTTTTTTTTTTGTAGGGGTTCGTAAAATAATCTTATCTACAAATATTGCTGAAACTTCGGTAACTATAGACGATGTCGTATATGTAATCAATAATGGTCGTATGAAGTTGAAAGGATATGAAGCTGAAAATAATATTTGTACTTTAAAAGAAGAATGGGTTAGTTTAGCTAATGCCAGGCAACGTCGTGGTCGTGCCGGTCGTGTTAGGTCGGGAACTTGTTACCATCTCTATACTCGAGGGCGCGAAAGATCGTTTGATGATTATGTACTACCAGAAATGATGCGCACTAGTTTAGAAGAAGTCATACTCCAAGCTAAAATTTTACAAGTCGGTATGGTAACGCCGTTTTTGGAAAAAGTCATGAATCCTCCCGATAGTAAATCGTTAGAAGTATCTTTGAAGGTAAACTGTTCTATTAAATATGTTAATCTTTTGTATTTTAATAATAATTATTATAACTAATAACAATACATATAATCTAAATATTTTTGTTTTAAGTTACTGACAGATTTAAATGCCCTCGACGAAAAAGAAAACCTTACGCCATTAGGTTTTCATTTAGCAAAATTACCAATCGGACCACTCGAAGGCAAAATGATAATTCTAGGAGTGATGTTCAGTTGTCTTAGTCCAATCATGACTATAGCTGCCAGTCTAAATTTCAAAGACCCGTTCTTTTGTCCAGTATGTATTTAAATTTATTTCTCTTTGCTAGATGTGTTCGATTAATTTATCCCCTATTGTATTATTGCACAATTTAAAAATAAATTACTCCCTAAAAAATGTATATTATTTTAAAATTGAAGAGTGGAATCAAAAAAGGCTTAAGTGCCATTTTTTTCAGCTAAAAAGGATGTATGTTCCAACGCCAATGTAACGCAATAAGGCAGAAATTTCCTCATCGATTGGCACTTACAGCCTTTTTTGATTCCACTCTTCAATTAGTAAGACAAATTATTTTGTTTTATTTCAAGTATAATTTTAAAAACATCAGCTATATATTAGTATTGCTACTTAGCTTATAACAATAAAATTTTGTCAAGACATATCCTTCCAAAAACATTGTATTACTTTTTATGGAAATAAGTAGCGTAAGAGATGTGAATGGCTCTACTCATGGTACAATGTATTTTTTTCGATCACATTATGTTTTAGGTAAATAAAGAACAGCAATGTCGTGAAATCAGAAAAGAGATGGATGAAGGTCATCAGAGCGATCATCTTATGGTCACGAGAGCAATGAGCAAATTCTTACAAGCCAAACAAAGCAATAGGGGTTGGGATTTTTGTAGGGAAAATTTTCTAATGTTCAACACTATGAACATGCTACACGAATTAAAATCGCAGTACGCTAGATATCTGTGCGATCTTGGATTTATCAAGTCTACTAATTACGCGGACCACGAGTATAACATGAACTCAAATAATGTTAAGCTTTTGAAATGCGTTTTGGTTGCTGGTTTGTGTCCTAATATTGCGGTTTCTCAGTAAGCAAATACATTTTAGTTTATTAGATAGAGAGAGAGAGAGATATTTTACCATTTTATTGTTCCAGATCAAAAGTTAAAACAAGCGGACGAAAGTTATCAAAGTTCGTGACTGCTGAAGACGGCAAAGTCGATGTACACCCTAAATCTGTAAACGCAGGCGACTGCTACTTTGAAAGTCCATTGTTGTTGTATCATACAAAATTGAAAACTAGTTCCATATTTTTGCATGATACCACTATGGTTTATCCATTTCCATTGGTCTTATTCGCAAACAGTCTTAAAGTTACCGGAGAAAAGACCGATCACGTAACATTTAGCCTTAATTCTCAAATTCATTTTACTACTTCCGCTAGGACAGCTAATTTTATTAAGGTAGGTCAATTTTTTATATGATTTAGTTAAGTGCTTGCATAACTAGTGTATTAATACGTTTAATGACATTTCTCGAGTGTTAAAATTGTAAATAAAACTTTTTAAAGCAAATAGATATTGAAGAGCGTAATAATTACTGTCTGTCACCAACTATGTTTAATTTATTTTAATTTTTTTTTTTTTTACAAGAGGCAAGACTCATAGGAAACTATTTGATACATTAAATAAAATAATTGTACATTTTTTTTTTCAGACTGTTCGAAGTAGGTTAAAATGGCTTATTGATTATTTGATGTCTCATCCGGAAGACATAAGTTTCGATTCAAAGTCCATCAGCGGAAAAGCACTTAAGTACAAAGATAATTATTATACTACTATGCTAAACTTATTATTTTTGATCAATACATTTTTAAAAATTACTCAACAATGTGTTATAGATAATTTAAAGTTATTAAGGCAATTAATTTTTGTTTTTTTATTTAACTAAAAACTACAAAAAACCTTTTTATTGAAGTACATAAACTACTAATTAATTATTTTTTAGTATAATATTTTTGTGTACTTTGTTGAAATAATTTGCAAAATCACTAATTTTCCTTGATTTTTTTTTTTTTAGACTTGTTGTTGATCTTGTATCAGCTGAAGACCATCCAGGCGTATTGGATTTTTCTCATTTATTTTGAAGTATTAAATAACGACGACATATTTATTTATTTGAACGCTTTTGTTAAAAAAAAAATATGTTTTTTTTTTTTTTTGTTATACAATAAGTCGTAATAAAACTTTGTGTACAACATTTCATTGTTTTTGGTCATTGCCAATTACCATTTACAAACTCTTAATCTTTTCTTACTTATATAAGAATCATACATTTTTTTTTAGCTGAATCCGAATCTAGTTTGGAAATTATATTCGTTGATTGTTCTTGTCTTAAAACTTATCTTACAACTATGTGAACCCAAAAAGGTAATGATACATTTTTTTTTTTGGTAACTTTTTTTGAAACTAATGAAATCTAAAACGCCATCCCAATAATAAGTAGGCTTATGGTATTGCAATAATTTAACTTAACTTTTTCTTTTCGGTATTATGTTTAGGCGTTTTCTAAAAGTCAAAATGGTAAAGTACAATAATTTAAAGTATAATCTATTAAATGGTATTCAAATAATAAGTTAGCCACGATACTTGATTTGCCTTTTGGAAGAAAACAAAAAATATAAACAATTACTATAAGTATTTTTTATTGTTAAATTCAAATCCGGTCTTATGTTTTTAGATCGCCTCCAAACTTGTAAACGAAATGCAAAACAAAAAAATTTAGAATTTTCTGATTTTCTTTGTGTTCAAAGAACCTCTACATTCATTTTGATAGAACAATTATGAATTCAGCAAAGAAAATACAAATTAAAATCTTATTTAAAATAGATTTTAGAAAAATGTTCAAAACTACTAAAATACATTGAATATAGGCTATAGTAGTTTTGTTCTTGTTCCAAAATCATATTTTCGTCGATTTGCCTCAACACTATAGAGTCCAGACACTAGTTCTATGTGATGATGATTGTAAAATGTGATCAGATGTGAATAAAAAGCGAATTGCTAGTTCTCATTATAATGATACGTTAAGACCTAGCAATTTGCAATTTTCAATAATTGGAACTATCAAGTATTGTGATTAGAGTGTAAGGATAGTTTTATTCCATCTAACAACTACGGGTGCGGGTAAAGGTGAAAATGGAGATTTGAAAAACACGACGGAGAAGAAGCCGAAAAAGTGGTAAAATAATATCATGACATTTTGTTGGACAAAGTAAACGAATTAAGGGACCTAAACCCTTATGGGGTCGGTAAAATAAATATGGATAACACTATAGATGAGATTACTGATCCATAAACGTTAAACGCCGTTAAATCACACAATCAATTAATAGCCAAGTATTATAAAATAATAGGTACCGTATAAAAAAGAATTCATATTGAAACATATTCAACGGATCAAAAGTACAAGTGAAGATATAGAAAAATGCGAACAAGTACTGAGGAAGAAATGGATAGAACAAATGTACCTAAAAATAATTTTTTCCTCGTTAAAAAGTTTTGAAATTATTTTTTAACTGGCATTTTCTTTTGTTGTAATTTTGTTTCATCTGCTCCCTTACTAACATATTTACAGTCCAAGTAAAATGACTATAACAGATAGTTTGATTAATCGTATTAATAAATCTATACCACTGAGCTTTTCGATTTAACTATATTGTTCGTTCTTTATTGTAGGTACAAAAACTAGCTTATATTACACTACATAATTCAGAAGGAAAAAGTGAGGGCTCGTGGCATTATTTTGTATCTTATATTTCCATAAGTGAAGCACCTAATAATTTTATTCGACAGTTGATGTTTGATTGAAACGTATACTCCTCGACTGCTGCACCCATTATCTACTGGAGTAAAAGTTATTCAAATGAGTATCAAGTACTAAATGGTTTGATAAATTGTAACAAATAAAACATTTAATATCGATGTACGTACACGACGACTGTCTTTATAAAACAATAAATAAATTCTCGGTTTATGCTGAATATAAAACAAACTTATTATATTGCACAGATTATTAAGCAAACGTGACAATTATTATGAGGATATTTTACATTCGACCAGCGAAAGACAATTCATATCACCGCCGCTGCCTCTATTCTATTCTTTGACAACATGCTTAATTTAGGTTACTCTTTTCCTAATTCCTATGCATAAAATGTAATTTTTAAAACCCTTATAGTTTTAATTTGAATTCCTGCAATGACATCTTCCATCCAATCATTTACGTTTTTGACTGTCCTCGCAGAATTGATTGTGTACTTCTTGTTGGCATAGGTACATAATTATAATAGGTTTATCCAGAAGAGTATTAAATATTCAAAGGATTGATTGATTGTAACAAAAAAAAAAACAAGTATACAACTATAATTCAACACTCGGTTTAAATATGTTTACGGTGGGTGTGGGAAAAATATAACGAACACAATATAATAATATCGTAAGTACCGTAGTAAACTTGCTGATTTCGTGAAATAATGTGTTTATTTTATAATTATTCGAGCTCATTTATCGTGTGATTTGTACCTGTCAATTTGTTTTCCTATCTACTGCCACTTGATAGATGTTAAGCGTTTTAGGTGTTAAATAACACGATTAAAATCCAAGTTGAAACATTGATAAATTTGGAATAAAACAAAAATTAAAATCAAGAACTCATTAATTACTGGCACATTGTCACTGTTACTCCAACAGCGCAATCATTTCTATTACAAAAGTAGACCATCACAGGTGTTTTTAGAATTGCCTAGACTGTACCCCTGTCCGTTTTTATGTCCTAGAAAGTATGGCGTGTATTTTATATTGCCTATCGGTCTGCGAGCATTGTACCGGCAATTTCGAGGACCTGGACAATTAGTGCTCCGTGTTCGCCTTAGGTACCCTTTTTCATTTATTGACAACGACTAACGAATCAAGGAAAAACCAAAGAGAGAATATATTACTATACGTATGTTCCAGCGAGGGACGAACAAAGGCAGAAATGTAGCATCAAAGAGCCGAAGATGACAAAATGCCCGGTTCAGATATGATGCGACAAATACATATACTGCATTTTCAAATCTTACGGTGCAACTAAATTAGAAGTAAAGCGTACAGAGGAATTAATAGAATTAGACAAATCGCTGTCCCAGGAAGAGGTATTGAAGTTGTACAAACACTGTTGAAGCCAAACAAAATTTTACCAAAATTGTTCAAATTAAAACCCGGTACCTATAAAGGATTCGGTACCTAAACGAATTCGTCAGATTAAACGGACTCGTGAAAGAATAGAAGAAAAGGCACACGATTTGATAAGACATTTTGGTGATCACGCTAACAAAAAAAGACCTTAAAAAAATGAAGAATTATATGAAGGGAATCCTAGTGGAAAATGACGAGTGGCTTTATCCAGAAAGAACAGATACGTCGAATCAGTCATCTCAAGAATAAAAAAAAAAATGTAGAGGGCACTTAATGACGGAATTGGTTGTCTAATGATAATAAAGAATGAACAACAATTATTGTTTTGCACATTTATTACTAAATATAGCATCGGTCCGATCATAGCAATCTTTTATTATTAGGTATTTAATTAGAAAACATATTTTGACAGTATAAATTGTAACTATAGCATCTCTGATGATGATGATGATGATGGATGGTATTTTACTGTTATTATGTTTATTGTTAAAGTCAAACTTACAAAAACATTAACGTTAGTTTGTTTCTCGATCGACTCTTTTATGCTGTTATTCTAATTACTTAATTTAATCTTTATGATGCTAATGTTGTGGATAAGCTCCAGATTATGTCGTATACCGTTATTGTTCGAGTACTTTATATTTTGTAGATTACATTTTAACAATATGTGTTGCATGAGTGTATAACGATTATAACAACTGGTATAATATACTCATACGATTCAAACATCAGAGTTCGGTGTTAAACACAGCGTACATTATTAGAAAATTATATTTGATACCAACAATAATAGTATAAGTGTGTTTGTTTGTATTGCATAATAACTATATTATAACAGTATGTCTTGCGTAGGGATTAAGAAACGCTTGTGGCCAGGATCACTTTTCAACCGATTTGCATATCTTCTAATATATGGTTTATAATACATATATACAGGGTGATCATTTTATCGCAAATAACCTAATATCTCAAAGTGTTTAATAAGAAATTGCATTTTTTTTTCATATTGTTTTTATAAAATGTGATCAATTTTTCAAAAAAATGTTTGTTTTGTATTAACTCCCTCCCAACATAGTCTTTTTGTCAGCAACTTTTTAAACTTAAATAGCAACGCATACATTTCATTAACTTCCACTAACCCCTACCCTTTATAATCTCTTTACTGCTGACACACCTCATTCAAACGTCACTAACTTAGCCACTTTTGCAGATGACACCTGCATAACTTCTTCCGACCCAGATATTAATTCAGCCATTGATAACTTTCAAACTCATCTAAAAGAGCTAGAGACTTGGTTTAAATAATGGACAATTAAAGTTTAATAAACAAAAATAAATCATCACATATTACCTTTACCTTAGGCCTCAAAGTTAGTTCTCCATTAACTCTTAATAATAATATAATGCCAACAGAAAACTCCGTTAAATACTTAGGCATTCATCTTGATAAGCGACTAACCTGGGCTACTCGCATTAAAACTAAAACAATATCTCTTAAATTAAAACTCCATAACTTCATAAGACATCTTCTCCGTTCAAACATTTCTCTTAACAATAAAATCCTCCTATACAAACAACTTATTCGTCCTGCAATGACTTACGGCATTCAAATTTGGGGATCGACAAAAATCTCAAATCTAAATTTATTTCAATCCTATCAATCAATCAACCTCTGTCTCTTAACAAACTCACCGTAGTACGTAAGTAATCTTACACTTCTTACAGTAATCTATTTGAAGTAGTGTTACCGGACATCCCCTTCTATAATTTCGTCTTGACATTGTATAATTTTATTCAAATCTACTCATTGTACCTAATATTACAGATTGTAAATATATTTTTTAAAAAAGCGTTAAAATTTGATAACGTTATAATTATTATCTTTCCGTCAATTTAAGAAAACGTGAAAACGCATACTTTCATAAAAAAATTGAAGATTTTACAAACAATGAAAGTATGATTTAGTTTAATTGTTTTGTGTATAACCAATAATACAATTACCTTGGGTAATGATGCGCATTTTAATTTTTTTTCTTTTTCTAGAAAAGATTTTGTTTTTAAAAAACAAAATGACAGTTAAGTCCTGAGAATACAAAAAAACTTTAACTAAGATGTCAATAAAGAAAATGGAAACTATTTCAAATCAGTGTGACATACTTGAGGCTCACAGGATCGTTTTTTCCTTAAGCGCCTGTCATTCCCCCGCGTTTTCCTAAATATATTTTGGTTTTGCTGTATGAGGCTGTTATATGGTCAATAACTTAAGTCTCGTTCTATATTGTTTCGATCCATTTATTACGTTTAATTATTCGTATTAGGTATAATTATAGTAATACAATTAAAATAAAAAAACGGTATAATATACAAAATCAATAGGCACTTCTTCTGTTGCACTCAATATTATAGCTAATACATAATAATATAAGTGTTAAAAAAATACATACGTACTATATTTAATAATGTGCTTGTTTGTTATTCGTAAATTCGTATTTAATGTCCTTATTAAATAATCATCCTATTTTAGCGATGTTATATATGTATAATTATAATTACTGTAGTAGTTTTATGTATAATAATCAATAATATTAATATAATATATAAAATAACAATAATTTAACAAAATAAAAAATTAAAATTACAAAAAAAAGTGATGTTTCCACTATAGTATAATTGTATACATAATAAAATAATAATAATTTGATTTACAAAAAAAAAAAAAAAAGATAAAACCCGGTTGTACTAATATGGAAAATTATAATAACTAAAAATAATAATAATAATAATATTTCAGGTTTTACTGTAATGCGTGCGACACCGGCTAATACTAGATTATTTTAGTTGAGTACCTAAGTACTGTATTGTCGTAAAGATTTACTGACGAGGGTCATCATGGTGGGATTTGTATAACATGTGGTTTTTGTACAGGGTCTGTGGGTATTTACTATGACAGAATGACGAGTACCTGTTGCTCTAACAACGGTTCGTACACTATAGTAGTATGTACAAGTGATTAAAAGTATATCATATTTATATGGGTTTATTTTAGATAACGGGTTTAATGTGTTTGTTAAAATATTCTAATATGAATGAGTTTATTAACACTTGCCGCAGGAGAGTAATTATATTATCATAATTACTTTACTGTGTACAATAATATTATGCGTGTGTTTGGAATTCAACGAAAATAAAATACAAAATAATTATATTAGGCGTATTGAAGTTTTCTGAATATATATATATATATATATATATATATTATTTACAATGTAACGTTATTATGCAGTGACCAGCTACTACCGGGCTCGCGTTTGTTGTGATGTTATATTATGTTCACTTTCTCTCACATGTGCGCATTCATAATAATTACCTGCCTAAACGGAGAGCGTCCGGTGCACAATAAACACTATTTGTATGTGTATTATAATAGAACGAAAGAGCATATAATATGTATATTATAATGTATTATATTTAAATATGTTTATGATGATGAGAAAAGAAAAATGTAGCATTCATCCCGAACGCCTTGAGAGAAAAAAGTAAAACGCGCCGGAGAAAGGGCATGAAGTTTGTTGGTTTATTATTAATTTTATGAATGGACCGCTACGATTGTGATATTTTTTTTTTTTTGTCAATGTATTTTTTGTATAATATATTATTTACTATATATAACGGCGATCGAAGAATGATATACCGCATGCTATGCATAATATAGTAATACAATACCGATCGGTATGACGACCCTAATGAGTTTCTGATTTTCATGTTTTTTTTTTCTGTCTACGCTAACTATGTTTTTATGGCAACACGTATAAAAAAAAATGTAAATTATATAAAAAAAATAAATGATTACTTTTCAACGTTTTTTTTTTTTTTTTATGATGAACCTGCGATTCTCTTCCGCCAGTCGGTAATAGCTATTATTTACATACTATTATTAGTAATAATATATTTTGTATATTGTATTGTTGTAATAACGGCTTTGGTATTACGGGCAGAGATGGGCAAAAAGTGTCAAATTATCAATTACGTTAGATTGATCGATTGTCCAAATTATCAATAAGATATTCTCTCTTTTTTTTTTTTTTTTAAACGTAATACACCAAAGATGCAGTTTTATATAGACACATTATGATTTATAGATGTATCGACATTTTTTATGAAAATGCCCACCTCCGGAATTATTTGATTTCTAAATGGATTGCGGTTAAACACATTTTTTTTTTTTTTTTGGGTATTATTTATGATTTTTTGTTTTGTTTTTTGCACGATTCAGGTTTGTTTTTTTTTCTTCTTTTAAGCGGTGAACTCTAGAACAGATGTCCGCTACCACCGGAACCAGTTGGCGCTCCATATCCGGTCGATGGCGAAGGGGACCCGTAAGTATCCGAAGGTATCGACGGCGACGGGCTGGCCGGCGGCCCGTACTCCGAAGCCACCGAGTTGGGGTAGCCTTCTTGTTTCTGTAAATAATACAAACGGTTCGTTATTATTTTTTTATGTTTTCAATGGCTGGTTGATTTTTAATTTCAAACAGTACATTTTATAGTTGTCTACATGGTCTGTACGATAAACAAGATTATCCGCCGATAAACGCGCAGAAGTACCTATGGCGAAACTACAATTGTGTTAACCAACCAACGTAGTGTGGAAAACAGTAAAACTACAGCGGATTCACAAAATGCGCAGATTATAAATGTAGATAAAAGGTTTTTAAGACCCCAGCCGGACATTTGGATTGGATTTGTGTGCGATAGAGGCCGTTAAACTGTCCGCAGTTAAAGTGTTACGTATAGTGTTTTCGGCAGCGTTTAGTGAAAACCGCTCGGCTTGTAGACGACAAAAAAATGACCAACGAGAACGAAATTTTTATCGAACCCGAACTGTTTAACTTTATTATGTAAAAAAAAAAAAAGAAACGGTACAACTGGTTATAATACAACATCTACACGTTGATATCGCAGTAGCATAGCCTTAACTTATGTAGGGGGGGGGCTTTTTCTTCTTTATTATTAAGTTGATATTTATATATAAAATTTAGTTCAGGTATCTATTTGACTACAGTTTAAAAAACACGTAAGAATATTACAATTTATTATTTAATATTAATTAATTAATTTTACTACAATTTTGATGTTTTTTTTTTTTTTTGTCAAAAATATCGAATACTTATTAGTTATAAAGTGCCAAATGTCACGCGGTATCCCAAGTGTATTAAGTCGGAAAATTTGGATTAATTAAATTTATGACTCAGATAATTTAAAAAGATAATTTTTTAAAAAAACATTACCCGCTAATGGATAATACCACTTTAATTTTAATATTAATAATTTTTAAGTGTCGAGGGATTATATATTTTGATATCAAGGATACTGAAATTGTTGAACCAATTTGTATTCAAGACTTCGATCTTCGAATGTTCTTATTTTTAGTACCTGACAGTTATAATAAACTGTAAGTTATAGACCATAGATTCAAATATTTTTTCAGGTGGTCCAAGCCTCTATTTGCGTCACTAGAAACGGATACTTATTTCTTAGACATTATTATACATTTGTTATCATACCTGTGTCTTGTATCTGATGAAGTACACTTCGGGTTTGGATGGTTGCGTCGGTGCCGGCGTGGGAATGTGGATTTCTGGCGCTTCGTCGGGTTTCTTCACTAGAACGTAGATAAGCGTTTTCTGTTCGGCAGGTGGCGCGATGGCGGGTATTTCTGGCGCGGTCGGGGGTGGCGGCGTTGGCGCCTTTATGAACACTATCTTGTAGTGTTTTTGGGGCGGTGGTGGTGGTTGCACAGGCCTCTTGGGCGCGTAGTACGTGGGCTCTGGGGGCGGAACGTGCACGTACACGTGCTTGTGTATGACGGGCGCCTGCTGAGGCGGCCCGTACTGCGGTGGTGGGCCTCCGCTTGGGTAAGACCCGCCGCTACCGCCGCCGCTTATGGGCGCCGCATAGCTGTCCAGTTGCAGGCCTCCTCCGCCGCCGCCGAACCCGGTCACGGGTGGTTCGGGCCTGCCCAGGCCTCTTCCGACTGCCAGTAACACCTAGAAAATTAACCATAACCGCCGTTAGATAGTGCCATAATTAACAACGGGTTACACGATGGCCTAATTCAACAAATTTTCTAAGTTCAAAATTACCAACTTTCAATAACAATTTTTCAAATATCTAATTAATAAAAGAGGGAGTGTGATGTACCTTTTTATGTACCTAGTTTAGGGGCAGCTTATAACTATCCTTTTGGTAATAATTAAAGATATTGAATAAATATATCTTAAAGTTGAATTATAATTTTTTATTTACAGAAAGTCGAAAGTGGATTTCCAAAAAAAAAAAACAAGACATGTTTTACTTTTACATAAATTAATACACTTTGACAACCGACAAAATTGTATATTAATAATAATATTTGTTTATTTCTTGGTGTCTTGTTCAAATGGTTACCTATGTTAACCTAAAACCAATTTTATCATTTCGGGTAAAAATGCTGTAAGTACATGTTTCCATAATATTCATATTTAAAGTATTTGAAACATTTTCCCACTCTTATTGGTCTTAAAATTAAAATTCTTCGAAATATAACAATATTTGTGTAACGTTTTTAAAAATATTGTATGAATTTAACAAAATCAACTTTGGTTGAGTTATTATTTATTTTCAATTTTCAACTTGACTGGTCTACTATAATTAATTTCTCATTAACTTTTAACCGTTTGGTAACTCGGTAATACATGTTGGTTAACTTTATTTTTAACTTGCCCGGTCTTATTTACCACATATACATCTTTCCAATAAGTTCATACAGTTATCTCATTTTCGTTAAAACTTGCATGCAACACGTTTTAATTAAGTCATCGATATGAGACTTTTTAAGGTGTTAAAACAATCTACCGATAAGACGATATTTTAACGTGACCGACAACTGATGAACATCTCATGAAATCCGACAAAAAGGATGTAGCTCTATGGATAATGCAATCCGGAAAACAAATACTTAATTACGTTATGTAATCAAGTTTGAGAGCTAATTATTTTAAGATACATGCGTTACACACATGTCACAAGAACGCAGACAACGGCATTGGCTTAAACTATTCTATATCTATAGTGCGTTAACGCATGTTTGAAAATCAAGAAGATATATATATTTTAATATACGATGCCGATATCGTTTTTAATACGGATTCATATACAGCAGCTGTTAATCCGTCTATAGTGGATTATTCTTTTGAGCTGTCCCGACCGTTCTGCGGTTAGGATAGGCATGAAAATGTTCAAATTTTATACTGTCATTGTCGCTTATATATATATATATTTTTTTTTTTTGTTGTAAATTGTTAATTCTAGAGAATCGCCGCAAACAGATAACCATTGCGGTACAATAAAATTATTCATTGTTCACTTTCTAGAACGCACGCACAGCCGTTATACAACAATCACGATTATTACGTTATAATATATTATTGTTCACGAAAATTTATAGTGTGGAACTCCGCCACCGCTTATAAAATTGTTCCACGAATAATTACGTGCAATTATTAAACTGGCTTCTTTTTTTTTTTTTTAATTGACGTTTCTTTTCTAGTTTTTTTTTATTTTTTTTTTACACACTCTGTGAGGTCCGGCACATCAGACAATCCGTGTAACGGCAATTGTTGTTAGCGCATCGACATGAGTCAAATGCGCAATTTCCATGGTTTTTTTTTCAAACAATATCAGACTACACTTATTGGTAATCGCCGCAAAGCGAAAGTTGTAGGTGCTCACGCTGTCTTATGAATATCATTATTTCTACAACAGCATAGGAAGCCCCGGCTGTATATACAGGATCGTTGGCCGTATTTTCTAAGGTCGGCGCTCCTTACCAGGTTTCAACTGTTGCAATTATTATTATTACTACCATATTATAACATCACCATAAAATTCAGGTGTACTGTAAATTTGGACACGTTTTAAACTAGAACTAACAGTACAGGCGAAGGTGGCGAATGTCGCGTGCAATGTCCAAATATTTGCACGTAGTATGTTTGTAATTACATACTAAGTACAGAGGTGGGTTTATATATCGTCGCTAAACGGGTGTGGTGTTTTGTTCGGTTGTTTGTTAACAACTCTGTCGGTAGCTTTTTTCGTGTTTGTGTGTTTTTTAGTATAGAATTTCCGCCCACGCGTTTGATCAAAATAGTATACAAACAGTGGAAATTGAGAGTTCCCGTTGTTGGTGGGATATTCGTGCGATCCGACGGACCGATGCCGGCTAAAGCTGATTGCCAGCAACGACATATTGTTTTCCATACCTACACGCCAAATTCCATTTGAAAATCGTACGGTAAGGCCGGTGGATTGTCTCCTCATTCACGGTGCAAGGTTTTTCCGGTCCATTGCGCAATCCTTGTTTTTTTTTTTTTTTTATATATATGTATAATATGCAGCCACTCTATATACTAAACAATCCCGTGCAAATTCTACAGAGTGTATACCTACACCGAAACAATATATTATTGTGGCCACAGTTGTGCACAATAATAGCGACAATAGCGAATAATTCTTGGCTTTTGTCGTTGTAACGTCCGCATATCCATCAAGCCGCCGGTAGACCACTCGTTAAAAAGCCACACGCTATTTCATCATAACACGTATACAGTTTTATATTATAAATGAAGACACGGTAAAGAGAAAGAAAAACAAATACAGATAGCAAATTCTTTTCGGCGAGGAAACTCTTGAACAATTGTACACATAATTAATAACACTAGAACGTTGAACATTACAACTCATTACAGTGTCCTCCCTCGTAATCGCATCTATCATAAATTCATAAGTACCGTGTAACATGCGTGATGCGAGTAATGTAATGTACCTATTGTTGTGTTTAATTAGTTTGAAAACCGGTTTTCGTAAACTTATTGAAGTACACGGTGTAAATGAAAAACAATATTTTAGATAAAAACTACACTTTCTTCGACTTGCGCAGTAACTCGATGACAACCGGTCATTATATTTTAAATGTTCACAATTTTTTACTCAAATAAATAGATAACAATTATTTTCATTAAGCTTGTCATGCGTTTATCTAAGTTTCTCGGATTCGAATCGAAACTACACTATTCTACACAACAGTAGTGAAGGTGCAAGTAATAAAGTTTGTAGTTTTAGCATTTATCCGAATAGTTCAAACAACGCGTCGCTGCCTTGAATGTGCAATTTCGGTTAGGTTATGATTTTACAATGGCTCGTTTTTTATTGTTGGCGGTTTAGAAACAAATGCCATGTTGAAAACTAATGTTTTCAACGCCAAGAACGGTTAAAAAAATAGTGCGCTGTACAATAATGAACCCAATACATTAGAATAATATTATAATGACAGTATTTCTCTCGTAGATTGTGTGTAGTATAATTGAGTTTGAAAAGAGCAATGCAAGGGCGGTAGACAACGACTGTATAAATTTGAATGTATATGCACTTATACAATAGAAAATATCGAAAAAAAAAAATCATAATTATCTCGGTTGTAATTACACTTAACCGACCGCCGTAGTTTTGCGGCGCCGGAAAACTTCTCGTTTGTGTCGCCTCAGAAAAATATAGTGCAGTTTTCCAAAAATAAAAACTTAAAATAATAATCATAATAAATAAATATAAAGTCATCAAATGCGGTTAAAACGAATTCCCGGGCGAGCTAATAAAACCGTTTCAAATTATGTTAATACCGCGACACCGGTAAACAAAGGAGACGCATAATCAAATACAAGTCATAAAACAAATCTGTGAAAACAATTATTGATCATCCGACGAATACTATTTCGATCCGCTTTTGTATGTTGGTAGATTTGAATGTTTCTATTTTGGATGAAAAATATTGGTAAAATTCACAATGAATTTGGAAAACGCATAAATTGTTTTAAAACGTTTCAATTTTTAAAGAAAGGCGGATCCGGTCATTGTAGATATACTTATTTAATAAATGAAAACGAATTACTCCCATCGAAAATGTCAATATTATAATAATATGAGTTATGGCTAGTTAAAAACAATGTATTTTGCAATACTGATTAAGATTTAAATTAGTATACCGGTTGATTACATTGCCGAATGATTATTTTTTAACCGTTCTAGGTCTTTTTATTAACTACACAAAAAACGTATTATGTGGCAATATGGCGTTTATAAATAATGTAATCATCATTACTAACTGGGCAATTACTAACTGAAAAATTGAAATGTGTTTTTTCATATATATTTAAATTATTCATATTAGGTTATTTTATTTAAATACGTTTGACTTTAATATAATGTTTTGAACCATGTCAATGCGTTATAAAGTTGTATACTGATTATTGGTTATTTCTGCAACACATATGTTTACCAGTAAAAAACCCAGAAGCGGTGCTGTAAACATTTTTCATTAAATTAGTAATACAATAAAATAATTTATTTCTCAAATTTATTAGAGTTGTGAAGCACTACTGAGGGGCAACATCAAATTTGTATGAAGAAAATTTTCTCCCGTGTTGAATTTCGTCACTTTTATAGCGTAATATATGCTATGTAATAAATACTTGTGATGATAAAAGTAAAATGTTCAAAAATAAATCTCCAGTGTTCCATTTGTAAGGAATAAGCTTGCAAATCACCGTGTATCGCTTTGGGTGCGTTTGAAGAAAATGTGTATTGTTCTTCTTGCGTATGCATAAGGGTCTTTATTGCAGCACATATAAAAACGTTAAGATTCGACCCTTTTTCAGGCAAATATAGCGCGTCCGGTGCTTTATGGGCTACTATGAGGCAACAAGGACTCTCTTCTATCTTTTGCAGCATCCAATAAAAACCGAGACATCGGGACGCCTGTTCAATAATTGCCAGTGTCTATTCTGATACGGTATTAAGGCGGCCCGTGCGCTGACGGTCATTGTTGCTGTTGTGAGCGCCAGTTCTTCATTAAAAACAATTTATAACAATATACAATAATATATAAATCCCGGCGTATCCGTCGGAGGCTAAGCTATTAAAAAAAAAAAAAAAAAAGACAATTGAACGCGGTTCT